AAGCAAAGGAGGCTTGCTTTAAGGAAGAGAGTGGAAGGAGGCTGGTGAGATGGTAAAGGCACTTGCCACCAAACCTGATGAGCTGAGTTCAATCCTGGGAAGGAAGGAACCAGTTCCTACAAATTGTCCTCTGATATACACGTGTACTCTGACATGGTCCAGACCACAACAAATACATGTTAAAAAGGGATATATTTAAGAGGAGGAGAAGGAGGAGGAGGGAGTAGAAATGGAAGTAGTAGTAATAGTAGTAGTAGTGGGGTGGGCTGAGGATGTAGCTCAGTTGGTAGAGTGCTTGTCCTTGGTTTGACTCTCAACACTATATAACCCAGACATGGTGACTTTTGCCTGTAATCTCAGTACCTGGGAAGTAGAGGCAGGAGGATCAAGAAGTTCAAGGTCATCACTTGATACAGCAAGTTTGAAGCTAGCCTGAAATGAAACTATCCTATACCCCCTCCAAATAAAGGAAGAAAAGTGGAAGGAGGTAAAAAAGGGGAGGAAGGGGTCACTGAGGGTATCAAATGATACAGAAGATCAAATTAAGATGAGGTCTAAAAACAGCCAATTAGGTTTAACAATAAGGAGAGTAGCCGTTGCTATAGTAAGAACAGTTCATCCCATGAGGTTCTTCTTCAGTGAAGCTGAAAAAGTGAAGTGACCTGAGGGGTTTTTTTCTGAACAGAAGAAATCAGTATCATCATCAAAGGAGTGTTAGCAATTTCAGGGATTTGAATTTGATTTCTTGGCTCATCTGAGATGCTAATCATCGTGGTGTCCAAGACATAGCCACATACTCCAGAGCAGTTAAAGCATTTACTTTGTAATTCAAAAACATCTGTGGTTAGTTTAGGTTCTGCTATACAGTATGGCCTTGATGTTGATCTCCAGTTGTTTCACTTGGAAAATATAAGCTATCTCTCTGAAGCTGTTTTAAAAATTAAATGAGAAGACCTTGAAGAAGTTCTGTGTAAAGAACAAAGCACCAGACTGGGAAAAAGGCTCATTCAGTAAAGTGTTTGCTATTCAGGCATAAGGGCCTGAGTTTTTGGAGCCCACATAGAAATACAGGTATGGCTGGCTATATGCTGTTATCTCGGTTCTGGGGAGGTGGAGACAAGAGGATTCCTGGGGTTGCCTTACCAGCCAGTCCAGCTGAAAACCAGTGAGATCCATGTTCAATTAAAGAGCCTGTCTCAAAACAATACTGTAGAGTGCCATTGAGGAGGACAACCAATGTTGACACATATCCCCACCCCCACCCCCCCACACATATGAAATAAAGCTGTCAGATAATCTTAAAAGCTCTACAAAGTAATGGGGGGGGTCAGCAGGGGGCAGAAGCGGAGAGACAGAAAGACAGAAAGGGGGAGAGAGCTGGGCAGTGGTGGCACATGCCTTTAATCCCAGCACTCAGGAGGCAGGGGTAGGCATATCTCTGTGAGTTTGAGGCCAGCCTGATCTACAAAGTGAGTTCCAGAACAGGCTCCAAAGCTACACAGAGAAAGCCTGTCTTTGAAAAAGAGAGACAGAGACAGGGAGAGAACTAGCCAGGGAGCTGGTAATTGAAGAGACTATTCTTAATCATATTGACAATCAGATCATTCACTGTATCTGTAGGCTGTCAGTTTTGTTAATTATCAAGCTGATAAACTGATAACATCTTTTTTGCTTGTTTGAGACAGGATTACTTGGTAGACTTGGCTAACCTGTTAGTGAAAAAGAGGAGGAGAAGGAGGAACTGGGAGTTAGAAGTGTCAGACTGTGGTTTTGGTTTTCTTTTTCCCCTTTGGGGGGCTGTGTTTTTTTCAGTTTTGTTCTGGGGAGACATGGACTTATAGCTAGAACTGGCCTTGAAACCCCTGCTGCCTCTACCTCCAAAGTGCTGAAATTATAGGTATGTGCTAGTACACTAAGGTTAAATGTTTGTAGTAATTAGGCATATTGTTTGTTAGAGTCTGAAATCAGAAAATTCACAGAGGACTGCAACTGGTTCCAGGCAGTAGAGAAGTGGGAAATACCCAGAACAGAATATGGGGAAAGGAAGATGAAACCTTAGTTATTTCCTTGTGGTAGAGAGACAATGAGTACACAGGCCAGAGTGGGGAATTAGATATCAGGCCCAGCTCTAACACAAATCACTTTTACAGATCACTGAATTCTCCATCTTTTCATTCATGGTAAGTTAGTTTAAAGGCTTCATGTATTCTTGAATTTCATAATTATTTTCTAAATGGGTTTGGGACCCACACAGCAAGTTGATGGCAGGCACAATTAAATTTACTACTCTTTGCTTTCTTGTGAAGAAAGCATTCCAAACCTTTTATTAGGTTTTTCTTGTAGAATATATGTTGAGACACAAAAGTGTAATAACCTATCAGATGTCATTACATAGTGGGTCTGGTTTGGTTTTTCTTTTGCAGCACTGGAGATCAAACAAAGAGCCATGTGAATGCCAGGAAAGCCTCTACCCATTGAGCTATGCCTCCAGCCATCACACAGTTCTAAGTCACCATCTGTACATTCTAAATCTCTTTTCTCTACAAAGGCATATTCAATGTGCTTTACAACAACTTAGCTAGGGACTATACTAGGAGCCTTTATAGACCCATGAGCCAACCACTGATTTAGGTCATTATCTTATTTTACATTTGAGAAAACTAATATTCAGAAAGGCTGAAATAACTCTACCAATGTGCCACAGCCTATCAGTAGTGGAGCTTAGATTTTGGAAGTTACAAGTGTCAAAACAGAGTCACTTAACATCAAACCTAACAAAATGGAACCAGGAGGTCAAGGAGTCTGTACAAACAGATGTCTGTAGTAGATTATATCTTAAGAAATTCCTGCACATATGCCTGTTACAGCATTTCCTGCAAAAAGTTCAAGACTGCATTATTCCAAATAAGCCAGCTGCACAAGGACTTGCCTAGCAACACCTCTTTAACAATCAATGGTCTCTGTTTCAAAAACCCAAGCCATTCCCAGTTAGCTCTCTCTGCCTCATGACTGTGTCTCAGCATGGGAGCTCTCAGCCACTGCTCCAGCACCATGCCTGCCTGCCTGCTGCCATGCTTCCCACCATGATGGTCACAGATTCTATGCCTCTGAAACCTTAAGCCCCAAATTAAATAATTCTTTTATAAGTTGCCTTGGTCATGGTGTTTTGTCACAGCAATAAGTAACTAAAATGCCACGCAAAAGCTGGGCACAGTAGTGTATCTGCAATCCTAGTAAGACAGAATACAGAGAGAGACATGGAATCCCTGGAAGCTTACAGGTCAAAAAGCTTGTCATATACAGTGCAGCAAAAAACCAACTTCAGACAATAGACTCTTGGAGATACCGCTATTCCTAGTCTATATAACATATATAGTAAAAACATATAAGGAGGAATTTAAAGAGAACTGGCAGAGTTCACAGCTTCCATGCTGTCAGCGGCTCTAAACTGGAACTGAACTCTCCTATTCTTCCAACTCCAATCCCACTACCAAAATTTTTGGCCACTTTTCCTCTTCACCACTTCTTTCCTACAATCAAGAATTGGCTATACATTCTTTTTGTGTTGGGGGATTGAACCCAGGACCTCTCACATGTTAGGTCTGACTTTACCAGTGAGCGATAGCCTCTAACCCTAACATACCTTGTAACCAATGTGTATATTCATAACATTACTTTATCTTGATTTCTATTCAATATTTTTGAAGGCTATGACATGCAAAATATAAACTAGAGACCTTAACATACATTTTTTTCATTCAATTCCATTGCTGAACATCATACCTACCTTTACTTATAAAGAAAAGTAACTATTATCAGGTACTTAACTTTATGCCAGATATTATATGCTGCCTGCTTTACAGTAACTCATGGAAAGCCTCCCAAGTGCAGGAATTGTAGGTGTGAGCTACCATGTTTGGCTTCAAGGTAAATTTCTTGAGGAATAAAGTTAAATAGTCAGAGAATAACAACATTCCAAACAAAAGAGCAACATACATAAAAACAGAAGGGGGAAAAAAAAAACCACACTGGGATGTAAGAATTTTTAAAAAGATCAGTCTTTAGAATCAACCACTTGGGTTCAATTAACTAATTTTGATTCTGTGGTGTCCACATGTCTATGATTTTCTCATCTATGAAATGGTCATAATAAGCTATATTCTACGGGATTTACTTTAAAATGAAATGAGGGCCCAGAGAGATGACTCAGCAGTTAAAGGCACTTGTTAGAAAGTCTGACGGCCTGAGTTTGATTCCTGAGAACCCACATAGTAGAAGGAGAAAACCAACTCCACAAAGTTGTCCTCTGACTTCCTTGCAAGTATCAGAGTGTGGTACACACACACACACACACACACACACACACACACACACACAGAGAGAGAGAGAGAGAGCGCGAGAGAGAGAGAGAGAGCGCGAGAGAGAGAGAGAGAGCGCGAGAGAGAGAGAGAGAGAGAGAGAGAGAGAGAGAGAGAGAGAAATTCATTTTAAAAATAAAAGTGAAATAAGATAGTAAAGGTACCTACACCACAGGACAGGGCCATGACAGGTACTCAGTAAGTGTTAACCTCCCATTTGTTGATAATTCAATAACCTTTAACCAAGAAAGCTACTTCTGCTGGTGGGCATGTTGGCACAAACCTTTAATCCCAGCTACTCAGGAATCAGAGGCTGGTAGATCTCGGTGAATTCCAGGCCAAGCTAGTCTACATAATGAGTTCCAAGACAGTCAGAGCTAAGACCTACATAGTGAAACTCTGTCAACTCTACTATGGGACTATCACTATGGGACCCTTACTAAATACACCTTTCCAGCTTCTCAAGCTGGGCCATGGCTTTTGGAGCCCTAGAATAAAGTGTAAGTCACTCCGAAAATTAGAGCCATTCATGGAAGGAGTGAAAAAGTATAATGGAAGTAAAAACAATAAAATTCACTAAATAAATACAAGAAACTATCAAAAAATAATTGAAAAACAACAATCCATTCTTATACCACTCACCAGTGTAGGCCATGTTCTTAGGGTTGCCATAAGGAGCCCCAGGTTGCACGGGGCTGTAAACAGGGTTCATTGTGGAAGACTGAGGATCCTACAGCAAAGAGAAATAAAATAGCATTGATTATTAATTGCTAATTCCCTCTGATCATTTTCTCCTCTAAGGACTTCAGTTATGCTCAAAGGTATAGCATCATGGTATAGGAAAAAAAGGATTAAACAGAATATAATACTTTTCCCATTTTACAGATGAAGAACGACAAAACAGAGAAGTGATATAACTTGTTTAATGTATACTCAGCCACTTTAGGCTCTCAGTTTAATATTAGTCCCAGTATCCAGAGATTTGATATAAGTATAGCATTGGCCAAATCACTATTCCTCTTTGGACATCAATATCCTAATATTAAATGGATTAGTTGACTTCTAAGGTTCTTTCTATTTCTAATGATGCTAACTCACAAGCTGGAAAATGACATGTTTCTACAGTTCACCAAGGGAACCTGGGTGTCTGGTGGTGATCACTTAAGTCTGCTAGAAGGAAGGAAGGAACAGCAAATGTCTTATTCACCCCTTGTGACTACAGAGCATAAGATAAAAAGCTACTAACAACTTGACAGGAAAAAAGGAGGAATTTCATTACATCTATTTATGTACTCATGCACATGCTACAGTGTCATGTGGCGGTCGGAGGACAACTTGCAGAAACTGGTTCTCCCATTATGTGTGTGTGCCCCAGGGACAAAACTCAGGTTTTCTACCTACTGAGCCATCTTAATGCTCCCCAAAGGGGAAATTGATGCCATTGAACATCTTAATGCAAAAAAAGAAACATGGCCAAGACTTCTTGCCAAATTTACTCAAGGGAAGAAAATAAACTTGAAATTTGTGTGCAATAACTATCACCTGCACAAGAGCTCTGTTAATTACCTTAATGAAGGACATTCTCCATTCTGATTAATGGAAACCCTGTCATTAAGCCCTATTAACCAGCCAATTTGTCCCATCTTGTTTAGAGAGTCATATCTTACACATAAGCTGACACATGTTTGAATATATCCAGATATATTACTTCCACACCATAAAAATCAAGCAATTCTCTCCTAACTAGGTTTACGTGATAGATAGGCAATTTTTTAGGTCATTAACTTCTGCTGCACCCCAGGATAGAGAACAAGTTAAATGCTGAAGGCAGGCAGTGAACATCTGGTTCAATGACAGTGGCTCTGTGACTAATTAGGTCTGTCCAGGATTCTGAAGTAAGAGGTGGAGAATTGATTGGTTCCCAAGGATAGAACGATAGTCCCATCAGATAGGCAAACAGGAAATGCCACTGGCAAATTTCATAATCTAGAACTTTCATAAATCTACCCAATGCAAAGCCCTGGCAAAAAATACCAGGATTAACAGGGTCAATACACTCACCTACAAATTGAAGGGATAACTTGAGGATTTATGTTAAAAGAAGGGATGTGTATTTTCAGCTCAACTTAGCAAAAAAACATTTTCACAACCAGCGCTGAAAATTAACTCTGATGTTAAACTTACTTGCTAACTGTAAAATGACATGCAGATGTAAACAATATGTGACAATGGTGCTTCTGTGCACATAATACAGATGACTGCTTGAACACTTTTCCCTAACATAGACCTTCTTCTCCGTAACCAGTTCTCTGCCTAATAAGTCAGTGTTATGTAAGACTGTTAAAATGCTGCCGTGGCTTAACTGTAGTATCCACTAAAAAGCATGTGTATGAAACTTAATGACCACTATAACAATAGTAAGAGATCTCGGAAACTGATTAATTCTGCTACATTAGGAGGGGGTTCCTCATAAAAGGATAGATGTGTTCTTTCTCCTACCTCTTGTTTTGTCTTCTGCTCTTCTACCACAGAATGGCACAGCAAGAAGGCCCTTGCCAGACACCTGCACCTTATTACTGAACTTCCCAACTCCAAGCCCATGAGCACATAAATTTCTTCTTTTTATAAATTATCCAATCTATGGCACTGTTTTAGCAGCATGAAACAGACTAAAACATGTGCTGGGCTACACAACTGGCCCTACAAACATCTGCACATTCTCCTACTGAGAACACACCCTGTGCTGCTTATTGGACAAAATGTGTAATGTTTTCATAATCAAAGAAACTCATCAGCTGTGAAACAGATCTCCTGCTGCTCCAAAATGAGAACTACAGACAGACATAGGAGACCATGACATGGACATAACAACATCAATTCAATCCCAACCAGTAACTGGCAGAGAAGACATCTGCCAGGGTCTAATATTTGGAACAAGCCAAGTATGGTGATGCAAAGCTGTATTCCCCAAACTGAAAAACCTAAGGCAGGAGGATTGCTGTGAGTACAAGGCCTGCCTGGGATACACAGTAAGACTCTGTCTCAAAAGTAAACAAACAAAAAATTGAAATAAGACTACTATAGCCACTTCCAGGGCACTGCTAAGATCAGAGTTCCTAGTTTCCAAGGGATTATCCTTTGCAACAGAATCTGTATACTGCTCATGATTTCAGGGACAGACTGAAAATCATCAGCTAAAATCACAAGTTCTATTGTCAAGCAGATTCAGGTTCTACACATCAACCACAGGCAAGTTTCCTAACCATTCTGAGCCTTAGTTTCCTCTAGTCTCAAAATGAAAAAGAACTATATAAAAGGTTGTTTGTTTGTTTGTTTGTTTTGATTGTCTGACACAGGATTTCTCTGTGAAGCAGCCCTGACTTTCCCTGACTTTCATTCTGTAGACCAGGTTGGTCTCCAACTCAAGAGATTCACCTGCCTCTGCCTCCCAAGTGCTGGAATTAAAGGCATGTGCCACCACTGTCCAGCTAAAAGTTTTTTTTTATTGAGGTAGAATTCATGCATAGCAAATTTTACTTTTTAGAAATATAGATCTAAGCCTAAAAAATGTATTCAATTATACAAATAACTACAATGCCATAATCAAGATGTAAAGACTTTTTTTTTTTATCACTTTCAACTATATCTTTTTGGCCAATCCCCTGCCTTATTCCCAATTCCTGACAGTAACACATCTATTTTTGTTGTTGTAAGGATTTTCTTTATACACTAGGTATCTATATACACAGTTCTTTATTAAATAGTTAATTAACTGGCATTATTCTTATTTAAGATGAGACTAAAAGAACTACTGAGAAAAAACCATTATAAAAATTGACCAACTGTACATTTTTTTTGAACCTTCATCTTTTTCTAGATGGACAGTCTAAAACAGTCCTACCCAATAAAACATCATGTACTGGCAGAAATATCAAAGATTTATTTATTTATTGTGTGTAGTATGTGTGCCTGAATGAGTTTATGTGCACCACGTGAGTGCAGGTGCTCACAGAGGTCAGAAGGCATAGGATCCCCTGGAACTAGAACTACAATTGTGAGCTGCCAGATATGGGTGCTGGGAAACAAACCCAGGTCCTCTGAAAACAGTAAGTGCTCAGAATTGCTCAGCCATCTCTCCAGCCCCAATGTATCAGCTAGGAGTGTACTAAAAGATAGAGCCTTTCATAGCATGCACAAGGCTTTGGATTTGAGTTTGTGTATCACATACCCTTCTACAACCTTGTACTGAGACGGAGGGAGGGAAAGATCTTATACCTTATATTGGCTATTAAGCTCCTCAATGCAACTTGAGAGGATAAGAGAGTTTTAGTTTTATTTAATAATTAAATATTGACATTTATTCAGAATAGTATTTTGTTCAGAAAATATATTTTACAAAAGTAGCATTAGATCATACTTGAAAGGTTCCTTATATGTCTAAGTGTTTTCCACTATATCATTTCATAACTACAAATAAAAGAATTCAAGAGTTTGAAGTAACCACATTTAGCTAAATGAACTGATTCCATTTTACATATGAAAAGTGAGTCTGGGAAAGGGCAAATTAACCATGCAAGACCACAAAGCAATCATTTCATAAACTACAAATAAAAGAATTCAAGAGTTTGAAGTAACCACATTTAGCTAA